AATTTTGTGCAACTTAGTTTAGAGTCTTTAATTTACTTGTTTTTACTTTAAATTCGTCAAAAACTCAATCCCTTTTACTTTGTTGTGTCAAATTAGTTAGAATATGTTTTAATTTGTTTCTTTTAGTGTTTTGAGTCAACATAAGTTGGAATTCGTCCAAATTACTCCTTAGGTCCTGTTTTGAGTCAATTTAACTAGTTTGTGTGTTTTGAGTCTATTTAGCTTAATTTGAGTCATAAGAGTCTAGTTTAGTAATTTAGAGTTTAAATTGAGTAGATTAGCATCCCTTCTAATCCCCGGCCTAAAACGATCCCTACTTTCATATACTACAATCATAGGGTTTTAATTTGAGTGTTAGAATATTTCACATCACTGCACTTGCCGGTTTCTGGAAAAACCTTTAAATCTCAATCTTCATCGTTTCAACACTAAATTTCACGAATTTTATATCAAATTGAAGCCCTAAACGAGAAGAGTACATTCTTATCTATTTGGGGGTCCTAAATTCGACGGAAAATGACCAGAAAAATCCTTGAAAAACCGGATACTCCTGCAAACCCATTACCAAGCTTATTTCAACATCCAAACTTAACCAAAATTAGTCTAACATGTTGGATAAGTTGAGTAATTACCTTACTAAACCTTGAAACTAAGTGAAACACCCTCGATCATGTTGGAGCTAATTTCACTCCTCACCGAAGCTCGGGTATCCCGTGTTACCGTCAATTGCTCTTTCAACTACAAGTATGGATAGGCTCGTGGAGTCAAGAGGAAGATGATGGTGACTAAGTTAGAGATGATCTGTGAGATTTTGGAAAAATTTGAGAGTTGTGAGTTTGAGTGTACGGAGAGAGAGAGTTCGAGAAAGAGGGAGAAAGCAGATGGTTGCATGTGTATGTGTGTGTGTGAGCCACGGGATAGGCCAAAATAAAAGAACCAAGGCCCTGATTGGGCCATGAAGTTTAGGGCAAAAGAAAATCAATCTAAAACAAACCCAAATTATAATTGGGTCCAAATTTGTGGGAGATATGACGATTGGTCAATTCCTTTGGCCCGATTACACAATCGTATTACAACATTTCAAGGGCAACATCATCATTTCCATGCTATCGAGGAGAAAATATATAATAATTCGGGATGAGTCGTCACACTATAGGCAAAGAGTGAAATTAAAAATTTATAGAATACATTAAAAATAAAAATATTTAGTAATTTAAAAAATTCCAAACACAATAAAAATTATAATAATTAATTTACAAGTGCGAAAAATGTGAAAAAAATAGGCAAACGCTCGTGATCCTCTACGCTTTGAGGATAGGTACATCGCTGTTTGAATTTTTAGAACCATACAAACTCTCATGAATAGTATTTTTAAGAGAGTTCAACATAAATAAAATACATAATCATTAATGTATAAGTCTGAAAAATGTGAAAACATATATAAACGCTCATGATTGCATCATCAACATTGAAAAGCAACTCCCTTTATTTTGCATATCCTTAAACATTTGGTATTTTGTAGTAATGTACTAATGTGTTTTTATTGGGCTCTTATTTTGGAGTACGTAATACTTAAAAGACAAATGATTTTATTTTATTTTTATATTTTATGTTTTGGAGTAATATTTATGTTCCAGTGTGATATGCATATATACTAATTTAGTATTATGTTTTCCATTTTATTGCGTTCAAATTATATTTTTCATTATTTATTGATTTAAAAATATTTTCTCAATGAGTATAGGATCAGGTCATATTATTTGATAATATTAAATAATATTAACTGATCGATGTCAAATTACCCGTTTACTTTAACGAGTGTTACCTGACACAATCTGTTAAAGTATTGAATATGTTACGAAAATGATATCAACACGAAAAACATGACGCGAATGCTAGTCTATTTCATACTATCACTTATATAACAAAAAAGGACAATACAACTTTACACAACAAGGAACTAATCAGGCCTTAATCCTATTGTTCACTTGGTCATGGACCTTGTCACTTGTGCCCGACACATTATTATTGGGGCTGTCAAAAGGGGTGGAAAAGTAGAGTTAAACCACCTAAAAGTAGAGTGTATGATGCGACTACATTGGGATAAAATGCATTCATCTATGCATTTATATCTAAATAAATATTGATGCATTGTATTATAATTAATTATGGGTTTGGCTATTGGGGTTCCACCTTTTCATCTTATATTTACTTGTAAGCCTAGATGGCTAGGCAGTTTTTTTTTAATGTGAAAGAAAGCAAGAGTTTTATTCTCTTCCCTTCTATCAACTTGGGCATTCCATAGGAATCAACAAGGCATAGATTTCTTTTGTTCTTGGCTATTCTTTTCTATGAGAATCAACAAGACTTAAGGGCACCTGTATTTTAGAGCTTGTTTCCTTTTCCCCTATATTATCCACTGCATCAGTTGGCATCGGAGGCAGGTTCCATCATGCCACCAAGAAGGGGACGTGATGGAAGGGGTCTGGGACTGGGAACCAACCATGATGATGTGTACGAGAGATAAGATATTGGGAAATTAGCATAACAGGTTGAGCGACTTGCGTAACAAATGGAGACTTTGCTTGCTCGACAACGGGACGAAGAAGAGGACTATGATGAGAACACAAATCCTTTCGGTGAAGAAGGTGAGAGGGAAGTCTTGAGACCAATTGAGGGTTTTGATACTAGGCGTTGGGAGTTGGGATTGACAATTGACATTCTTGAATTCCATGAAAGCATTCAGCCTAAAGAGTTCCTAGATTGGTTTAATTCTGTGGAGGAGGTTATGGAGTTCAAGGATGTCCATAAAAGTAAGGGGTATCCCTTGTAGCAATCAGATTATGTGGTTGTGCTTCAAATTGGTGGCAACAATTAAAAATGACTAGATCACGACAAGGAAAGAAAAAGATTGGAACTTGAGAGAAAATGAAGAAACATATGCGCACAACTTTCCTGCCACCCAATTACTCGAAGCTAGTTTACCAACAGATCCAACACTTAAGGCAAGGAAGTCGAATGGTGACTGAATATACCATTGAGTTCTATTAACTAATAACTCGAAGTGATATTGTTAAGACAGAGGAGCAGATGGTGTCACAGCATATTGGGGGCCTCCACATTCAATTTCAAGATACTTTGAATTTATTCGATCTTTTTTCTGTGGCTGAAGCATATTAGGGAGTCTTGCAGATAGAAAAACAAATTAGTCAAAAGGCAAATAATGGCGGCACGTAGTCTGCAAGTGGTTCTAATAATCAGGGAGGTGTGAGAAATTCAGCCCTTAGTCGTTTGCGAGCTCCACAAGTTCACAACACAAGGACAAGCTCAAATATAACTCCAAGTAGAGCGCCGACTGTGGGTCCTGAATGCGGTGGTAATCCTTGTTTTAATTGTGGGGAATATAGGCATCAAATGGCTGTTTGCACAAAGGGACGAAAAACTAGCAAATGATTGTTTTACAAAGGGTGAAAGTGCTCGATTCACAAAATATTACGATTTAGAACAAGCTCCAGTTTATTATGAATATGTTCAAGGTGATGCTGCCATTGAGGAGTTTGTGACTGGGGATGATGGCCCGTTACTTGTGGTGCGAATAACATGTTTCACACCTCGGGGAACTGATGATGATGATGGATGGCTCCGACATAACATATTTCAGTCGATATGTACCATCGATGGGAAGGTTTGTAGGTTGGTGATTGATTTTGGAAGCTGGGAAAATGTTATTTCTGAAGAAGCAATGAACAAGTTGTGCCTCGAAACGCATCAACATCCTCGACCATATAAGCTTTCTTGGTTGGAAAAGGTTAATGAGGTAACAGTTTCAAAGCGAGCTCTTGTACCTTTCTCTATTGGCACCAACTATAAAGATAAAGTGTGGTGAGATGTTGTGCCAATGGATGTTTGCCATATTCTTTTGGGAAGACCTTAGGAATTTGACAGATGCGTGATGCACAACAGATGGAAAAACACCTATAACCTTTATGTTTAATGATATCAAAACCACCCTTTTGCCTACTATAGAATAGGTTACAAAGCCCTCTCAAAGCAAATGGTCGACCACATTGTTAACCATGGCAAAGTTCATATAAGAGGCGCAAGAAATGGGAGTTGTTTATTTGTTGGTTGGTAAGGATTGTTCTAGTGATATGTCAGTAATTCCTATGCATGTACAAGTGCTGGGAGTTTCAGGATGACTTTCCTATGGAGTTGGATGCAGGGTTGCCACCATTGCGTAACATTTAACACCAACTTGATTTAGTGCCTGGTGTCACTCTGCCAAACAGACCACATTATCGGATGAGTCCCAAAGAGCATGAGGCGTTGCGATGTCAAGTAGAGGAATTGTTGAAGAAAGGACACATTTGAGATAGTCTTAGCCCTTGTGTTGTCCCGACATTGCATACACTAAAAGCAGATCATACTTCGCGTATGTGTACAGATAGTAGAGCCATTAATAAAATCATGGTACACTATTGCTTTCCTATCTCTCGTTTGGATGACTTATTAGATCAACTGAGTGGTGCTACAATTTTTAGTAAGTTGGATCTAAAGAGCGGTTACCACCAAATCTTGATCAGGGAGGGAGACGAGTGGATGATAGCATTCAAAACCCGTGAGGGTTTGTATGAGTGGCTGGTTATGCCTTTTGGCCTCTCCAATACACCGAGTACATTCATGAGGCCGAAGCATCTCCAACATCTAAAAGAAGTCTTGAAGGTAGTCCGGAAATAATAATTTTATGCAGCAGCAAAGAAGTGCTCCTTTATGATGGATAAGGTTCTGTTTGTTGGGTTTGTTGTGTTAAAACACAGGATTTTTGTGGATGAATCCAAGGTTGTAGCAATTAAAGATTTGCCACTACCATAAAATTTGCATGATGTTTGAAGCTTTCATGGATTAGGCTCTTTTTGTAGATGCTTTATTCATAGCTTTAGTACTATCATTGCTCCTATAACAGATTGTATGAAGATTGGAAAATTTAAATCGAGGAAGCTATGGCCGCTTTTCACAATATCAAAGAGAAACATATCAGTGCACCAGTTCTCATTTTGCTTGATTTTAGCAAGCCATTTGAGTTGCTTTGTGATGCATCCAAAGTGGGTATTAGGGCTGTGTTGAGCCAAGAGAAACGACCTGTAGCATTTTACAGTGAAAAGTTCAATGGGTCGAAAATGAACTACAACACATATGATGTGGAATTTTATGCTGTTGTTCAAGCCCTCAAGCGTTGGAGTTCTTGTTTGGCACATAATGAGTTTATTTTGTATTTTGATCACGAGGCTCTAAAGCACATCAATTCACAAGACAAACTCTATGCTAGACATGCTAAGTGGGCATCTTATATGCATTAGTTTACTTTCGATATAAAGCACAATTCAGGAGCCATGAACCAACTAGTAGATGCTCTCAGTAGAAGGGCAAATTTTCTCACAACCATGAGAAACCAGGTGTTGGGTTTTGATTATTTACGAGATTCAATATTTGTTGACCCATATTTTGGACCTATCTTGCACGATGTAACATCTGGCCTATGTTTCGATTTTCTAATACATGATGGTTTTCTATTCAAGGGGAATTAGTTGTGCATTCCATAGTCTAGCTTGCATTTGAAGATTATTAGTGAATTGCACAATGAGGGGCATATGGGGAGAGACAAGACATTTCAACAAGTGTCATATTCTTATTTCTGGCCATCTATGTGACGCAAAATCACTAAATTTGTTGAGAATTGCAGTTGTGTCAATTATCTAAGGGTGCTGCAACAAATGTGGGGTTGTATATGCCACTTCCCATTCCTAACTAGCCATGGGTCGACATCAGTATGGACTTTGTTTTGGGACTTCCTCGTACTTAATGGGGTATGAACTTTATTTATGTGTTCGTCGATCGTTTTTAAAAAATGGCACATTTTATTCCCTGCCAAAAGACAACAGATACTGCTAAAGTGGCTCAATTATTTTTTCGCGAGGTGTACCGTCTCCATGGATTGCATCTATTGTATTTGACAAGGATACAAGGTTCCTTAGTCATTTTTGGGGATGTTTGTGGAAGCTTTCCAAAACTTTAGTAGTGCCTATCATCCACAGATTGACGGGCAGACTGAAGTTGTCAACCGAACTCTTGGAAATCTGCTGCGAAGTTTGGTGAGGGATAATCTCAAATCATGGGATTTGAAATTAAGTCAGGCTGAATTTGCATTCAACCACTCTGTCAATCGAAGTACTGGGTTTAGCTCATTTTTTGTTACATATGGCTATAATCCACGGACTCCTCTTGATTTTGCACTTGTTCTTGAATTATAGCGAGTTAACATGAAAGCAGCAAAATTCGTCTACCAACTTCACCAAGTTCACACATCCACTAAGCAACAGCTAGAGGCAACTAACGCCATGTATAAGTGAACCGCAGATATAAAGCGGTGATATGTGGAGTTTGAAGTGGGTGATTTTGTGTGGGCTGTGTTAACTAAAGAACGCTTTCCAGCAGGTGAATACAATAAATTGGCTGCCCGAAAGATTAGTCCAGTGGAGATTGTTGAGAAGATGAATCCAAATGCTTACCGCCTCAAACTTCCAAGTCATCTTTGTATTGTTGATGTGTTTAACATCAAACACCTCATTCCTTTTCATAGTGCTAGTTCTGTAGTGAAGGAATGCTTGAATTCGAGGGCGAATTCTTCTCAACCCTGGAAGAATGATGCAACTACATTGGGATAAGATGCATTCATCTATGCATTTATATCTAAATGCATATTGATGCTGTATTAGAATTAATTATGGGTTTGGCTATTGGGGTTCCACTTTTTCATCTTATATTTACTTGTAAGCCTAGATGACGGTAGTTTTTTTGAATGTGAAAGAAAAGCAATAGTTTTATTCTCTTCCCTTCTATCAATTTGGGCATTCCATAGGAATCGACAAGGCATAGATTTCCTTTGTTCTTGGCTATTCTTTTTTGTGAGAATTAACAAAAATTAAGGGTTATTGTATTTTAGAGCTTGTTTCCTTTTCCACTATATTATCCGCTACATCAGTGTAGCATCTTGAAGTCTTATTAACCATAAAAATTGTCTGTATGGACGATTGTCTCTAGCAAAATCTGAATAATACTGTATGACTTGTGACGAAGACATTATTGGAGTATATGGTAGTAACTGGACAGATGCTCATTGGCTTTATGAAATGCAAGTGAAGAAGAACTGAGGAACTAATGGTTACTTGTTTGGTTCTGGTTCGGTCGTCACTTTGGGTCACTCATTAGAGTTTGGCACAGCGCAGGCTAAAACAAGAATGAGGATCCTCTCTGGATCCTCTTTGTGAGAATCTTGAAAATTCTCAAATGATTTTCGTTCATTGTATATTATGCGATTAGAAATCATTTTAAATACTTTTATTTAAAATAAAACATGAACCGTATCTGATAAAAAATGACCCTATAATATATAATGAACGAACACGATCTAAGAAATTTTGGGATCCTCAGAAAAAGGATCCGGACAGGAATCTCATTCCTAAAACAATACTCTTTGCACGTTACACTGACTAAGTTGACAAACAGCATATTGAGATAGCCAAATGAGGCGAGTCCAACTCCCTTGTGAATTGGGTTTCCCTATTTTTGGTTCATCGAGCCAGACAGAAGGGTCGTACCTTTAAAATAATTGCTCCTGGGCAAATCGCTTAGCCAACTTTCCCTGAAATTACCACTATGACCTTCACCTTTTACTTCTTCTTACAAGATGGGAGATGCTTCTATTTAGATTTGGATTTTACATTTAGATCCCTAAATTTCCCCTACGAGGCACTGAAAATTATTAACAGAACATAACTCTTTGCATATACCACTATACATTTTTATTTGATTAAATTCATTTTACTAATTTCAACAAGTTTTAGTTTATGTAATAGAAAATACTAGTTACTATTTGGCTTGGATTACAAAAGAAAAAGACAAAAAACATATACCGAATGTTGTAAAATATAGCATGAATACCACGCATATGATTGTATAGAGAAGCAAACCAAAATGAGGTGTGACAACCATTGAAAGTTTTAAGTGAAAAAGTCTTAGGGAAGTGACAACCAAAATGAGATGCTTCATACATATAAGGTGTTGTCGGATCAAAACCTCTATATAGAGAGGTATGTTTGTATCCTTAATACAACATACAAGATCATAAGTGAAAGTAATAATATCAATGACACACCCTGACCCGAAATGTCCACTTGGACTCCGAATTGAGCTGTGTTGGCCGACACCTGTAAGGTGACGAAGCCATAAAGTGTAGTGTGGTGGAATATGTGAATAAATTTAAACCTAAAAGTGCCTAAATATAAGAGTGCGCTGTGAGCAGGAAAGAACCCATTTCACTCATGATGTCAGAGCATAAGTACAACACAATAAGATAGGGTGAGAATTATATCATTGAAGGTAATTGTTTACACCAAGATTTGCCAAGAGTTCTTGTTAATAAGAAAGCTCAGCTACTAAAACCAGGAGGGCGAAAAACAAGGGTGAGTGGCCTGAAAATAAAGTATTAATAAAAACCTTTGAAAATGTTATAACCCATCGCCATAAAACATGTATAGTTTCCAAGATATACATACTACATAGTATGAAAATACTCACCATAGCCTGCAAAATATCAAGATATCAATACGGCATAATAGTTCATGTATAAGTGCATGACGTCAGTAATCGTATACTTTCGCATAAGCAAACATATCAAACCAAGTGCTCATCGACACATATTAACACACGAGTTCATGTAGAGTTATTCTGACATGAACAAGATTGGGTGTAATAATGATATAGGCTCTAGTGCCACAATCACATGAAGACTGGCGTTATTCGCGATCACATACAAGTCGAAGTTACCTATTGCAACCTGTACGACAGGACTGGCACCTACTTGGATCCAAGGCGAGCGTACGGTGTGGATGTGAACATACACATGAAAGACTGGCCTTGGTACTGGGCGAGCACTAACACTAGTGCAGCAATGATGAAGAAAAAACACAAATATAGTCATGCCATAGTGGTTCGATAGTTCTAATCAACATAATATCATTCATAGTCGTAGGTATAATCCTGGCATCAATAAACATACGCATACCTGTGCATCCCATAGGATTTATGATCACTTCGTAATTTTCCGTTATTTCACTAATTCTTATAAGCATTAGTCTAAGCTAGGCATACGAAGTAAATTCTTATCCGCGCTACAACTCCCTAGCATGAATATCGAGGCGTCACGAACGATCGTCACCTAGAACAAATACCAAATCATGTCTTAGAATTCTTATCGATAGAACGTAACTTACAGAAAACATATCCCCAAAGACATTTTAGAATGATTTGAAACCCATTGACTAAAAGTCAACCGTCGGTCAAAGGTTGACGGTAGGGTCCACAACCCTACGTTACTTGATCCGGAAGATCTGCACCTCAGATTTCCGATCCATAACTTCCACAGATCCACATTATGCTTCTAAAACAACACACTAAAATCTTAACACGATCCGACGGTCCGATCTCCGCCAATCACAATTCAAGTGGTGGTCAACGTCTTATTTTATGAACTTACAAATCCAATTCGAGATGATCCGTATTTTGGATTCCTTATCTGTAAGCTTCTATGGTCCTCAAATATTACGTATTAAAGTTTGGTAATGATCTTACTGTCGGATCGTCGTTTGCTACACTATTCAAGTGGGGGACCTTAATGGAAAAAGGTTCAAGTGACAGAATTTTGTCAATTGGACTTCACATATGGAATTGGGGTATCGAATTTAGCCTAAGTAGGTCAGGGGGTGCCTCGGCCTACGCGCCATCCCGACTCACCGGAAAATTCAACTATTTCAAAAAATTCTCAAATTTTACAGGAATTAAGATCTCAGCGAGTAGAGCAAGTTTTATACTTATGGCCAAGTCCAATTTGATTGGGAAAAGCTTCAAATCACCACGAACCTATCGGAACCTTAGAATTTGGGTGTTCCTCAATTCGTCGAAATCATAGCTCCACCACCCCCAAAATTGTTTGGACTTTGATCGAAGCCTTAAGGAGAGTTAAACAAGGGTGGTGATTAATGGTAGCACCTGTGGAAACGGCAGAATTGCTATCGACACCCATGAATCCTGTCAGGGAGTTTTCCACCAAATTCCTTCTAATTTTGGGTGGAAATGGAAGAGGGAAGGCTAGGGAATTGTTTCTAGGTAGTGGTTTACCTTGATTTACTGGAAGAACGACGAGAAAGTTGCTGGATTCCACGAACCTCGATGGGTCGGGTCGAAGAAGAAAACGGGGCAAGGGATCCAATGTCCCTCCCTTCCTTTCCTTTCTCCTCATTTCCTCTTTTCTCATTGGCTGCCTTCTTCCTCTCTCATTTTCCCCTTGGCTGAATCTCTCTCCTTTCTCTCCCGGAACTCTCCCATTTTCTTTTCTTCTTTCCTTCTTTCATCGTTCCCTCTCCCTCAAGTAATATTAAATAATAATGTAATAACAAAATAATGTTAAAATAATAATATAATAATTATAAGAGATATATAAAATAATAAATAGTAATCTTTACAAAAGTACTTTTCAGATTTGTGGTTTCGTAAAACCCCTATCGTAACTCCGGTTTCGATTCAGATTACGCTTACATGATTGTCCCGTCAAGAACTTCGACAGTACAGTAAAATAGTAGTTCATACGCGTGATGAACTAATGGTCAACGAAAGTCAATAATCTCGCCTCTGGGGTATTTTCGTCAATTCGTGCTTTTAAAAATTAATAAAACAGTAAAAGTAGGGACGGGTTATCACAATCAATGTCCTTTCCCATTCCTTACTTGTATTCTTTTGTGTGATACAGTTACGAAAATAAACAGTGTGATACATTGCACCCTTTCCACTTCGATCTTTAGCAAGGTTATCTCTCTCTCACTTTGTCTATTTACAAAACGTTATCAAAACGATTCTTTAACCCTAATCAGCTCTCATTTCCCTCATCGAAGAATGCTTCCCCAATGATTTTAATGTTCCACTTCCTTCTCTTCCTCAACTACTTTGTGATCCCTCGCCACCACAATAAATAGCTACTAACACCATACCTTCTCCTAGTCCTCACTCCTCAATTTAATAATAACTTATATTTTCTATTTCCTATTAGGTGTAGCTCCTGATTACTAATCATGCACTGCAATTTTAGATGGTGTAACATAATCGCCCATCATGCACTACATATTTAGTTTTCTTGCTACTCGAATGGTGTGGTAAAATCTCCCATTTAACACTATATTATTCTAACGAAAGTGGTGCGGTACAATTGCCTTCCTCATTAATTTTCTTTCTTTCTAGTAGTAATGCCCAATACTGATGACAGTGCTTGTATAGTGAGTATTACTAAATACTGAATAATTTTTAATTAAAGTCTAAATTATGTAAATCTCGAACTTGAAATTTCGAGTTCTTATCATTTTGGCATGAAGTTGAAAAGTGAAAAATTTGTTAAAACCAGATGTTCTAACACTACATTCCTCCAAAATCCATATTATTGCAAGTTTTTATACATCTCAATTTTCTTTCAAAAAAAAGAGAAATGGCAAACCTGGCAAACTTGGCAAAACTTGATTTTGATGCCCTTGACATCACTGGAAAGAATTACCTTACATGGGTTGTGGATGCCAAGATCCATCTTAAGGTAGGAAATCTTGGGAGACACCGTCAAGGAGAA